AGCTTATTCTTGAAGTCAAGACTTCTCTTTTCTTATTTGAACCTCTAAAGAAGTGGCAAGGAGACCTAACAATGGCAGAGAGATTTCTAGAAATTGAGGGGAAAGAATGAGTAGGACAAATTATCAACAATGCCTGACTCTCTCACTTCAATGTACCCAACAAGAGTTACTCCATTTTTGTCATTATATAAATATATTCAGACTCTGAATATTTGTTATATTTTTTAAAGAGTGCTATATCTAAAATAGAACACAAATTACTGCTCCAAAGTAGATCTTGTAAGGTGTCCTCTATATGATAATCAAACACAGATGGAGACATTTATCAGTATCTCTCCAAAAGACTTAATATTTCGCAACTTAATATCACATAACTGACAAAACGGTATAAAACTGTCCTTTCAGACAGCAAGATGCGCACTTGCCACTTTTGTAGCTCATTATAGTGTTGTGTCATCTATAATTTAAAGTCTTCAATCAAAATCAGTTCAATTAGCAAGTTCAATTATGGGGAAAGATAAATGTACATAATCCACCCAGGTGGGCTGGGGCTTGTTACTATCCACTCCCACCACATACCTTCTTTCTTATAGCAAAGAAATTTCCCCAAAGTTACTGAGTTGGATCACAACCTGGCCTGGGTATTTTGGTAGCTAAGTATAGAGACAACAGATAGTAAAGGTTACAGCCCATGCCTAATTAAAATTTTACATATACTATATATATATATATATATATACACACACACATATATATATAGTCTATCTATATTGATATATAGATAATCACTAAATAAAAGTTGATTTGCATATGTATTATTTAGTTGAATTACTTTATATAGAAATCTCCAAGCGTAGAAATCTCCAAGATAGAAATCTTACAGCAATTTGAAAAAGGTCCTCTAAAATTATAAATTAAAAAAAAAAACTTGTTGCTCATAACCTAAAAGAAAGTATCTGGGTCTATTCCTACTGTCTATACCAAGAAAGATTTCCTTTGGCTGATTTTATCCAACTGCCATGGCAACAATTCTTGTCATTGTATTTCAGTGCAAGCAAGGGAGTTCAGTGATTAGATATATTCTGCTTCAGAATTATAAGGTTATTAATGCGACCTTAGGGAAATCATTCTCTCTCTCATAAAACTTCCAACTTATAAGAAAATAAGGATTAAAATGTTTCATAGGAGGCAAGAGAGAAAAAGTGAAATGCTTAAAATGCAGTAGGTCCTGATAAAGTTGTCCTTGACATAAATAATAGCAAAATAAAAACATAAAAGACAACTATACTTGTTATCTTAATATCTGGCTCTGATTATCATTTATTAACCATGACTATGCTAGTCACTTAGCCATCTTGGCTACAGTTTTCTCTTATATGCAAAATGGAAATATTAATATGTATAGTACATACCATACCTAGTTAGAAACATTAATAACATAATGCTTGAAAACAGTTTAGAATAAAAAACATACTTTGATAATTATATATTATAGTTATAAGTATAACTAATGAAACTGGGAAAATTTACATCTAATACTGTGCTAATATGACAATGTAAAAATTGTGGGTTCATTACCACTTTATTTTGTTCAATGCCTGATTCATTTTACCACAATAACATTTAACATTTTTAAATTTTTCTCTAAATTTGATTTGTTTTTCTTTGTTATATCTCTCAGACACTATATTAACTCCCTTATTCAACATTTTCAAATAACTTAAATTCAATACATATTTATTACATTACAAACATGGACAAGGAACTATGCCATGTCACTTTCCTAAGAAGTTCAAACTGTGGATTGCCAAGGCCCCTTTCTTTTTTCATTTTTTCTCTTGGCTTTATATTCAACTTAAAGTTGACCCTTGACAACACAGGTTTGAACTACGTGGGTCTACTTATAAGATTTTTTTCAATAAAAGTTACACTGGGTGTGCCTGCCTCCCCTGCCACCTCCTCTACCTCCTCTGCCTCTGCCTCTCCTGAGACAGCAAGACCAACCCTTTCTCTTCCTCTTGCTCCTCATCCTTTTCAATGTGAAGATGACAAGGATGAAGACATTTATGATGATCTGCTTCCACTTAATGAATAGTATATACATATTTTCTCTTCCTTTGATTTTCTTAGTAACATTTTATTTTCTCTTACTTTATTATTAAAATAATACAGTATATGATACATATAATAGACAAATTTTGTGTTAATCAACTGTTTATATTATCAGCAAGGCTTTCGGTCAACAGCAGGCTAATAGTATTAATAGTTAAGTTTTGGGAGCCTCAAAGGTTATACTTGGATTTTCGACTTGGAGGAGTCAGCACCCCAACCCGTGTTGTTCAATGGTAAACTGCACTTGTAACTTTATCTGGCATTCCCTGTACCCACAACAACTTATACAAAAAAGAAGAAAGGAAAGTAAATTTATTCAGCTCCTACTATGCACCTAGCACTACAACATTACCCATACATTATTTCAGTCAATTCTCACAACAACCCTAATAAGTAAGTATTCACATCCTCATTTTAGAGAAGAAAAAGATGAAGAGCCATAGTAGGGAAAAACTTTAAACCAGGTCTGCTAAATCAAAAGCTCAATCAGTAGTTCCCAGATATTTAGTTTTCACAAACCAGTACAATATATATATATATATATGTATGTATATATATATACACACACAAACACAGACATACACATAACTGGTGGACTTCATGGGACTGTCAACATTTTATTTTCGAAGAAAATGATATATTTTTTTCAAAGCTCCACTATTTACTGTCAGCATTATTTTATAAAACAAAATATTAACATGAAAAAGAATAGAAAGACATAATTTCAAAACAAGAAATAAGCTTTCCAAACAAAGCCTTAGACTAGTATTTCCACCACAGACAAGCACAGGTTCTCCAACTGGCAAGTGAGAATAACTGCACTGAATCACACTATTTCCCGTAAGAGAAAAGCAGAACACAGAACCTAAAACATCCTTCTATATACTCTTCCCAATTTCAGCACAAAGGCAACGAGAATGAATGCTGCCTTGACTAAAAGTCAAGGGCTTTGTGAAAGTTGTTATGTCAAGGTTCTGAGGACAAAGAATATTACAGAGGCTTAAAAAATAAGTTAAAGAAGCTTCTGGTATCAACCAATGTGTTCATTTTCAATGCAGGTATTACTTCGTGTTTTCACAGATAGAAGTTTATTCCTTAGGCTTTTCCTTCAAATAAAATCTTTATATCTGATACAATCAAAACAGCTGTTAAAGAGGATAGATCTATTTACCTCATACCTAAGAGACTCATCCATCTTCAGTTGCTTTCCTGCCTTTACAGCCTTATCTATCACATTTAATCAAAAAGAGCAAGGATCTCATCTTCCTCATGTTTTGGTGCAGTATGTGATGTCAGGATGCTAAGTTACTATTTGAGGATCAATATACAATGGGCTTAGCTTGTTGCCAATGCCAGAACAAATGTTAAATATTAATAAATGAATTTGAGCTAAATTTTCAGAATAAATTTACATTTTAAAAAATTCATAGTTTGTCATCAAAACAGTAACCAGCAGAAGTTATAATAATGCTGATACACATAAATCTGAATATTCACTAGTCTCTCCCATGTCTCTATTTCTAGTTTCATCTACTTAATAGGCAGAGAATGGAACTGAGGGTCTAGGGAAGGAAGCAAATACACAGAAAATAACCTGTTGTTTGTTGTCCCGCTGCACTTGGACAAACTCTAAAATCGATCATCATTTATGAATATCTACTGTATCAAGCACCACATTAGGTACTTTACTGCCTGCAATCCCTGGTCCATCACTATTTCATCCTGAATTATCTTTAAATGTCTTTTTTTTTTAAATCCTTAAATGTCTTTAAATGAAGTGGTTTCACTAGATACCTAACGCTTCTAAATGATCATTTGGAAATAAAATTCACAGTTTTATGAAATAACATTCAGGTCAACATACTTGACAAATTATGTCTTTTAAGGATCAAACAGTATTCTGATTAATCAACTATACTTTACATGGTAAGTTAATAGTATCATGATTGATCTACTGTATTTTACTGGTACAGTATATTGACTAATCTTTACATGGTACAGTTATTAATATCTATATTGTTAAAAGATTTTAAAAATTAAAATACTGATTTTGTCACTGACTCTCTTTATGGTAATAATACAATGTTATTGGAACAATAATAACAATGTTATTGGAACAATCTATTCATATTGTAAAATGAAATATTAACTGTTAAATTCAAAAGCCATAGGGAGGTTAATTAAGCATTTTTCTGGGCAATACATTTAAATTCAATCTTTCTGAATTTAGTCATTGTGTACACTCTTCCCTTTGCCCAGACTACCATTTCTTTTTCACTCCTTACTAAGGCCTAATTCAAATGTACTTTCCTCTGTGGATCCTTCTCTATGGATCTAGACAAGATCAATCCCATATATCTGTGCACTCGCACTGCCTTTGAATAAGCATCCATAATTTATTACCATTTATAAGCATCTAGTGTTTGGGGCACATTTGAGTGCTTAACATATTTCCTAACTAACTGCAGTGCATCCAAGCCTTTTTTTCTCACATAACTGTGAGTCTGACTAAAGTAGAAATTTTAATATCCATTTTTATCAACCTCATCATCTAGCTCAGAATTCGGATAAAGAGTAAAGGAGGGTGCTATAAATTATTTGTAATGTGTGTTCAGAGAAGGCCTCTCTCTGATAAGATTATACTTAAGCAAAGACCTAATGGAGGGGATATGCCAGTCCACGTGGCTATCTAGGGAAGAGACATTCTAGGAGAGAAAACAAAAATACAAAGGCCCTGAGGCAGGAGCATTTTAAAATATCAGGAAAAACAAGGCAAATTCTATGGTTACAGCAAAATAGGTGGCGGCAAGGTGGTCAAACAGGCAGTGTAGGTTTAGGTCACATAGGCTCTTACAGGCTATGCTAAGGTCTTTGGGTTTTACTTTGAGTTATAAGGAAAGCCTTTAAAATATACAAAACAAAGAAATAACATAATCTGAATTATATTTAAAAATTATGACTACTGTGAGAAAAATTCACTACAGAGGACAAAGGTGGAAGCAAGGAAACTAGAGGCACAGATCACAGATTCATGTCAAATGTAAATGATTAGCCACAGGAGAAATAAAATTTCCTGGACTTAATTAATGAACATGGTGACCTAGACTCTCTATTCCCTGTGATAAGACTGTAAAAGATGTTAGCACCTGTTACTTGTCAAGCACAACAAAATTGTTTGTCAACAAATTAGTCTTGACCTCAGGGAAAAAAACAATTGTTTGCAAGGCGAATGATACTTCATTTACAAAGGACTTTACAAAATGCACATTAATCTTTAAATTATTAATGCAAATCAATCCTTAACCAAAAACTTGGCAAAATTACAAACAAAAATTTAAAAACATTTCCTTAAAGGCATTACAGAGGTAAAAGCAAAGTTAAAACAAAGTAATGGTTTACAGGCCTGGATCTAGGAGAAATGGCAGCCCAAGAAGGTAAACTCAAACTTTGGAGGCACTCCTCCCCTCCCCCTTCACCAAAGTAGATATTCAAATGCCCAGTTAAAAATAAGGGTAGCTGTTTCCCATCATGGCAGATCAAGGTGAAAAGGAGAAGCCCATGTGGGAACTTTGCATCCGCAAGCTCTGCCTTAACATCTGTGTTCGGGAGATTGGAGACAGACTGACCCAGGCAGCCAAGGTGTTGGAGCAGCTCACATGCCAGACTCCTGTGTTTTCCAAAGCTAGATACACTGTCAGATCCCTTGGCATCAGGAGAAATGAGAAGATTGCAGTTCACTGCACAGTCAGAGGGGCCAAGGCAGAAGAAATCCTGGAGAAAGATCTAAAGGTGCAAAAATATGAATTAATAAGAAATAACTTCTCAGATACTGGAAACTTTGGGTTTGGGATCCAGGAACACATCGATCTGGGTATCAAATATGATCCCAGCAGTGGTATCTACGGCCTGGACTTCTGTGTGGTGCTGGGTAGGCCAGGTTTCAGCATCGCAGACAAGAAGCGCAGGACATGCTGCACTGGGGCCAAACACAGAATCAGCAAAGACGAGGGCACGCGCTGGTTCCAGCAGAAATATGATGGGATCATCCTTCCTGGCAAATAAATCCCCGTTTGTATTCAAAAGGCCAATAAAAAAAAGTTTTCAATGAAAAAAATAAAAATAAGGGTAAAGGTAAATCATCTGACTAGCAGTTAAGAGAATAAATATTAAAACCACAATAAAATACCATTAGATACTCATCAAAATAGCTAAAACTAAACATACGATTACTATCAAGTTCTAGAAACAATGTAGGAGTAGGAAAATAAATTCTAATTGTTGATAGAACATGCTACAAAGTCATCTTCAAAGGTCATGTCTATAGCAAGGGGTGAAGAATGGAGATCATTTTACTAAAATGTATATGTGTGGGTGTATATATAAATACATATGTTTAATTTTAAAGTGGTAGTACAGTTTACACTCCTACCAGCAGTGTATAAAAATTGTTATTTTTCTACATAGAACCTGAGATATGTGCTACATAAGGCAATATGGCTACACTAAACGACAAATTTCAATATAGGTGTAACAGCCTTCTATTGGAAGAGGATACCATCTAGGACTTTTATAGCTAGTGAGGATAAGTTAATGCCTGGCATCAAAATTTCAAAGGACAGATTGGCTCTCTTGTTAAGAGCTAATACATCTAGTGACTTTAAGTTAAAATCAGATGTAGAAGTGTTTCTGAGACATACCTCCTTCTCTAGACTTACTTTGGATGTGTCAGACTGCTCTGAGATACTTCTCTTAAGATTGAAGAAGGCCTTTACTTTAACTTACAGGATTTAGCAGGGATCTCCATAATTCTTTTAGGGGCATTAACAAAGGGTTTTACAGCTACTTCCCTGATTTGACATTAGTGCCAGGTTATATTGTATTTGAAGAATATTTTGTCAACTGGGAGACTGGAGATGAGAAACAGTTGTATTCTCCAGCCCAGCAAGTCCTGGCCCCTCTTTGTTCCTTCTAAATTTTGCTTGTAACTGATCAGTTTTTTCTTTAGTACATCTCTTTCTTGTCATATTGCCTTATATACAGCTAGGAACAACCAGCTAACTTTCAACATTCTGCCTAGATAGCTCAGGCAAATCCAAATGTTTACTAAGTAGATTTTCTACTTTCTTTCTGAGTTATACAAACAACACAATTTTGCCAATTGTTTTATTATTACATATCTCAGGTTCTACTTTTTCAGCCTCCAGTAATAATTTTCTTACATTTTCCAGCTTCTGCTAATAGTATGCTCACCATTTTTCAAGTCCTAGACCACTATATGGTTCCGAAGCCAGTATCACATATTTTGTTTTTTAAAATTACAACAGTTATCTCACTTCTTGGCTAGATCTTCTGGATAACTTGCCACACACAGCTTCTATATCAGCACTTGTTGCTTCACCTTACACTTTTATGTTATGGAGACATTCTTTCCCTAAACCTCATGAACCAACCTCTGCTAACTTCTTACTTCTCTTCTGTAGTTTCTTCACCTCTCTCAGTCTTCATAGAATTGAAGAGAGTTAGGATATTGCTCTGGATTAGGCTTTGACTTAAAGGAATATTGTGGCTAGTTTGATCTCCTATCTGGGCCACTAAAGATTTCTTCATATCAGCAGTAAGGCTGTTTCCCTCTCTTATTCCTATGTTCCATGGAGTAGTACTTTTAACTTCCTTCAAGACCTTTTCCTTTGCATTCACAATTGGGCTGTTTGGCACAAGAGGCCTAGCCTTCAGCCTATTTCAGCTTTTAACATGCCTTCCTTACTAAGCTTAATCATTTCTAGCTTTTGATTTAAAATGAGAGCCAAGCAACTCTTCCTTTTACTTGAACACTTAGAGGCTACTGTAGCATTATTAATTGGCCTAATTTCTACACTGTTGTGTCTCAGGGAATATAGAGGCTCATGGAGGATAGAGAAAGAGATCGGGGAATAGCTGGGCAATAGAGCAGTCAGAACACACACAACATTTACTAAGTCTACCATCAAACACGGGTGTGGTGGGTGGTGCCCCAAAACAATTACTATAGTAACATCAAAGATTACTGATCACACATCACCATAAGAGATATAATAATAATGTAAAAGTTTGATATTGATTTTATATTATTATTGACAGTGCATGTTGCTCAAAGGTAACATTTTTTAGGACTTAAATAGCATGAATATTTAAGAACCAAGTCAGTGGCTGCTTTTGGTAGATAGATGTATTCATAGAAAGCAGCTCTCCATGAAAAATTTAAAAATGTGAAGATACTTCATTTAATTTTTCATATGTCCATTACAAATGTGAAATTGGGATGTCTATAATCTTCCTAATTTCCACTTGATATATACTTTCCCATAATAATGAAATAATTTGTACATTTCTAATTTCTTTACTATTTTATTTTCAAATTAAGGAAGTATAATTCATATCTCTTTCCAAAGTTTTATATTCATCAAACATTCAAAATTATAGTCTCATTTTTTATAAGCAAGGAATACACTTTCTATTAAGCAGATAGCTTTATATATAGTTTTATTATAGAGCTTTATTAACTTTTTCCACTTAAACAGTCACAATATTGAGCCCAAATTTCTACTCCAACCCCAATAACAAAGGTTAAAATTTGCCATCCTAGCAGAAAATAACCAAATAAATCCTAAGTTCAAACACCACTACTATGCCTAATCCATCAAGAATATTTAACAAATCAGTATATATGTATGTATGTATGTATATATATATATATGAACCATATAGTTACTAATACACTCAGTTCAAGGCTACATGCAAAACAGGTTAAATTAAAGATCCAATAAATACCAATGTAAATGCAAATTTTAAAATACCAATGTAAAAACAAGAGAATATTCACAAATTCAAAAGAGAGTCCATTGTATTAAGATTTCCTCACATGATGAATCTAACAGAAAATGTTAACAAATTATAGCAGGCTTTTATTATTTGTGTTTCTAAGTGAATCATTTCCTCCAAAATGTTCTGACAGTATCTCTGCTTTGATTTAATATTTCTAAATATAACAAGTTTTCTTTAAATGTTCAAGACTTCACATATATTCTAGTACTCTAAAAATGGACATTATTTCTAAAGAAGTTGATAATTACTGAGTGGCTCACCCAAATTTGTTCAAAAAGTAACAGAACTGGAGCCAGGTTCAGTGGCACACATAGCTACTCAAGAGGTTAAGCCTGGAGGATCACTGAGGATCACTGGAGGATCACTCAGGAATTTGAGACCAGACTGAGCAATATAGTGAGACACTCCACTACCAAAACCACTGCCACACCTTGGTCTCTTAAAAAAAAAGTAACAGAATTGGATCTAACTGTTTGCCTGAATGCTTACAGAGTATTCTTTCCTGATTTTTACTTAGTATCTTTTTCTGATTTGAGTTCTGAATAAGTTCTTAATGAAAAGGTTACTAGAACCTAAGAACAAAGTTCAGTGAATCCTTTTAACGGATATAACATTCCCTTAAATATTTTCTTCCAATGCTATCAAAGATATTAGAGATACTATTAAAAGATAGAAGGAATTGTCTTATGCCTTCTACTTTCACAGCTAGTTTCACTTTTGTCAAAGCTCAAATTTGTAAGCTTTGGCCTTAGAAAGAGCTGGGCATTTTAATTCTCCAGCCCTAACCTGGAAAGACTTCTTCAAGGAATGAAGATATCAATGAATGAAACTGTACTACTACAAAAAGCAGATACTTCTACATTTGCTATCATATTTAATTTTCAGAAAAACCTTATGAGGTAGCTATTATTATCCCAATATTCAGATCAGAATATAAGTCTCAAACCGATAAGTAACCTGCTTGAGATCCTCCAGCTAACTTCCTAGGTGGCCAACAGTGCGATTCCAAACCCCATGCTGTTCTTACCACGAGTGCCACCATCATTCCTTCACCTTATTCTCTATTATCTGTCAAAATATATCAGGGGTTTTTTGAGTTGGACGGTAGATCACTTAATTTAAACCCTTTATTTTGTACATGAATGCACTAAGAGAGGTAAAATGCTTTATCTTAGGACAACCAGCTATTTAGTAACAAAGTCTAAGCTCTTTCTAAGCACTCTACATTATTATTAACATGAAGAAAAAAGAAATCACAAATAGTAATCTTCAGCTAGACCTTTTTAAATATAATAAATTAGATGTTACAGTTCTTCTCAAAAATGTTAGGATCTTAATTTGTTAAGATAATTGATTTCTATAACTTCTTCTGGTACTAATGAATGTAATATGTTTTAATATTCTAAAATGAAGAAAAATTAATGGATAATTAATGATACTAATATAAATAAAGGTAAACCCCTACTGTCTATAGCATATAAGTACAGCCTATAAGAGTAGAAACCATGGGAGACAGTCATATCTGAAACTAAATCAAATAAAAGTAACTTGGCTGAAAACAATAGAATCTGACTCAATATATTTGGAGAGTAAAAGAGAATCGTGTAACCATTAGAATTCTTCAAATTAAATACTCATTAAGTCAATATACTCACATCTTTGTCAATTTAAAAATTAGCATCTAACACCTATACTATCTTATCCTCTCCGTTTTTCACTAGGACACACAGGATGTCTGTTTATCTGCAAAATTTTCACAAGAATATACTTATCTAGCAAATACAGAATACGAATAAGTTTATATTTAAGAACCTTTTGCTCTCCTAACAGGTTCTGATGCTATAAACCGATAGGGGATTGGTAATAGGTATGAGATCTTCTTAATGAACACAGTAATACCTTTAAATTCTAAGAAATGAGAGAGAACCTGAAGATTCTGATAGCATCAATAAGTAAAACATAAGAAGGACAAAGCACAAACAACACAAGTTATCAGGTAATACAATAGGGTAAGTTGATATTTAATTTATGTGAATTTATCTATGATTCACCTGTATGAATTTAACCAGCAACTTTGCAACAAGAAATAGAATAATGTAGCAATTAAGTCCACAATTTCCCCCAAATAAGAGTAAGCCCTGGAGTGAGTGTGAGATGGAAAATGTGAATCTGCTGTTTCCTCAGTCAATGCATGACAAAGTCTCACCTGTTTCCAGGGTCTCATATGTGCCAAAGATGATTCCAATGTCAAAA